ATCTAGCAGGTATATTCCAACCTTATTGAATGACTGAACTTGTGCTTTATTTCATGTTATGGTGAAAGCCACTCTCACAGGAAATTGACGTCTTCGAAGTCTAAAAAGTGTGCGTTTGTCCGAGTAATTGTCTATTCGCAGGATGATCGCAAGTTCTCCTCTCCTCTCTCCACAGATGAATTTACAGCCGATGGTGAAACGTCCTATCACCTCCTTTTTCAGTCTCGTTCCATTAGAAAGTCTACTTGCAACATCGAGGTTCTTGACGAGGGAGGTCTTTCAGGCGTGTGGCGCTTTTTGAACATGGTTTTCTGCATGGTGTAGGGGCATGAGTACTGGGTAGAGAGCAATGGTCCATTTCCGCTAAATGGCCATCTGAATGCCAAAAAAAGAGCGAAAATGATTTTGTCAGAAATTGCCGTTTTAACCTACTGTGCGTCGTTTGTTTCATTCATGGTGTCGACTGTCCGCGCAGTAGAAGGCGCCAGTGGGCTGCACATTGAAAGTAACGTGAACGCTGGCCAAAAAAGGGATGCTGTTCAGCCAACATGTTGATTAGTGCGGGGAGGTTTCATAGGAGTTGTCTACAGTTCGGCTGCTTGCAGCGACGGATGGTGTAGTGGATAGCGATGTGGACTTCGAGTTCGGACGGCTAGGGGCTTGGTTGGTGGTTCGGATCCTCGAGGCGCTGCCGTTTTTGCATTTAATGCTGCCACCTCCGGATTGCCTTCATATTGCTCCAGGGCCAAAGCAAGTGCCTGACTGGTCATAGGAAACCTCTACAAGCCAGTAGAAGGATACGGTAGTCGCCACGGAAATACTGCCGCTCGACGTGTGAATTCGAGTAGAAATACCGCCACTCGTTATGGATCACACATCGTTATGGATCATCAGGAATGGACCACGGTGTAGTGGAGTGGAGAGCACAGTGAACTCATAGCTCTTGCGACAGCCTTCCTTCCGAAGTCACGGCATTTGAGTGATTTATAACATGATGGTGACTTGGGGATACCCATACCTTTCATTAGCTGTTACGTGGGTAGGCCAAGTAGTACTTCCTTGGTGCCTCACAAGCACAGCCTAACTTCACCTATGTCATAGCCCGCTCACATTGCAGAATGGTTGTGTTGCCGTGTTACTTACAGGCAAATCAGAATTATAAGCCGTAATTTATACTTATCTTTCATTTCGTTATTGTTGGCAAAAATGATTCCCGCGGTCTGATTGTAATCTTGAGTAAGTTCAGCTTGTTTAGGTGGTGGTCTGGCGAGAGAGAAGCTAGAGAGAATGGGGTGAGCGGGCACAACGCGTACTTCTGAATGCTGAATAATGAATTACCAAATGCCGACCTCATGAATCCCTCAATGAGCACGACCCCTCCTTTTCTGAAGAAAGCGTGTACGAACCTTACACGCGGTTTCTACTCCAGTGTTGAAACTTCCTTGAAAGGATGCTGATTCTACTGGAGCCCAACCGTGGACAGTTCCTATGAAACTTTCCTGCACTTTTCAACATGTTGGCTGAACAACATCCCTTTTTTGGCTAACGTTCACGTTATTTTCAAAGCGCACTCTACTGGCGCCTTCTATTGTGCGGACAGTCGACGCCATGAATGAAACAAACGACGCTTAGTGGGTTAAAACGGCAATTTCTGACAACATCATTTTCACTCCTTTTTTGGCATTCAGAAGGCCATTCAGCGGAAATGGACCATAGTTCTGTACTCAGTGCTCATGCCCCTACACCATAAAAAACCATTGTCAAAAAGCGTCCCGCGCCCTGAGGGACCTCCCTCGTAAGAAGCATCACATTTGCACCCTTTTTAAGACGCAGCTCGTGGCATTCCTTTTTGGGTATAAGAATTCAGATATTCCTGTTGGAAATGTAGATATGTCTGTCCTTCAGGATAAACGGCTTCGTCCACACTTATAGATGTGTTCATTTCCTGGATTTCCGTTAGAAGGTGGTCCAAAGTTGCGTCATTGAGGCTCTGCACGTGAATGTTTTTCGGTGCTAGAATGGCACACTCGCACATTCTGAGGTATTGTTAGGATCTAATGCCGCTCCGAAGATTTCCGTAACTATGTCAGAATAACATAGCATGTCATCGTGCACGTAAACACAGCCAATGACATCGTTGCAGCCGCCTTTACCTGTTTCGAGAAGACGTTTATTCCGTTCTCTCCCGGCCTTTCGCGCTCTCATTTCCAGACGATGAATCGAGGTAATGGCCAAAGGAATGAATTATGGACAAACGCACCACGAAGTCCTCCTTTTCACCTTATTCAATGACAGGTAGGACTTGGCGGAAATATCCTCCGCGACCAAACTTGCTCGCTAAAGGTTTGGTAATTTTGCATGATGTCCTTCAAAAGTGCGTACACCTCTTCCAATGCTGCTTTCGGCGCCATGGATATTTCGTCCCAGATTACCATGTCCACTGCTCTGGCTCTCTAGCTTCTTTTGTTGTCGTTTCGTTGAGGAGCTCCGGTTCTAATAATAGCGAATTCACCGTCCGTCCTCCTGACAGTAGATTAGCAGCTGTTCCTGTCCACGCAACGCACACCACTTTGTTTCTTCGTCCAATTGCAATATCATGTACATTTTTATATAGGCAAGTTTTCCCGCTCCCTCGTGGACCATCTATGAAAATGCATCTGTTCTGAGGTCTGTCTAGTGCATCGATGATGTCATCAGCTGCAGCCTTTTGCCTTGTATTGAGGCTTTCATATCGAAGCAGATGCAACCTTACATGCTCCTCACTTCTACATTCGGTATAACAAGGCGTACCTCAACAGGAGGGGCGATAACATCTCTGAGATCCTTTCCTATCAGGGCCATTTTGTCAAGTACATCAAAGTACGCGAGTGCTACAGCTCGTTGTTCATTGAATAATATAATCTTCTGACATTGCGTCTGCGAACTCAGTCCACAAATCTTGGGCTTGGACCACCCCACAGTAGCAGAGTAAGCTAGCAAAAAAGCTTCGAATGCATGCCGCTCACTAGTGCAGAGTGGCTTCCTGCAAACTTTGGCGGAAATATTTTTCGTCATCTAGGAAGCCAGCCTGTTTTGCGTCTCGGCTGTCGTGAGTAACGCCGTATACTGTCCGAATGTCCACAAAAGAAATTTTTCTCTAGTGTTCAGGAGGAGAATTCTAAGGCAATAGCTTTCGTTATTTCGAGGTGAAATGTGGAAATCGGACCAATTTGCTTCCCTCCGCGCCTGCTTGGCGACCAACCCCCTGCGGCGATCTAAGGTGTAGTATTCAGAGAGTTGGAAGTAGTAAGTTCCTTGGCCGATCGTAAAATCGAGACTAATGTTACCTTCCGCCTGTGCATATTGCCTGTTGAGCTCGAAATACGCAGTTGAGGTTGTGGAAGACCGCTCAGCGTGCTTTAGGTATTACCGCTCTCTTCCATGATGAAGTGCACCGTCTGAAACTCGGGCAAATGGGCAGCCAATCTGTTTATCGTGTGTGAGTTGTCTTGCATAGCGTAAAGGAAAATCCGACATAAACTTTGAAGGGCACATATGTACGTAGCGAGTATTGAGATGCTGCTTAATCTCGTCGACGCTCTGGTTTTCATCCACATTTCCTTCAACTTCAGTGCTGATGCGTACACGATCCGGTCCCTTATACTTGTAAAGGTACTTAACAGCAGAAATCATGCCGCAAGTCAATATGGCAGTCAAATTCAGGAGATGAGGATTTGTCGCTAATACCCACTCGTTTCCATAAGGAACGCTATTGGTTTCAGTCGGTGAGAGGTTACGACACTGATAATTGGGGTAGCCACAACGTCTACTGAGTTCTTTCGCGAATCGACTTGAGGAATCGCTTAGAACATGAACCGCTCTGCATACACGGTGGATGGGGATCTAGACCGCACTATCGGTGAATCATGTAGGAAGTCATAACCGCGTAGAGCACAGGCTCTGTTTCTCTATTCGAAATTTCAGCACAAATGGCTCTATCCACGTCTTCCGCTCTGCGCACTCTCCAGTCATTTTTCATAATGAGAAGCATGACAGTGAGGTAAACCGCGCTTCTGAAACTCAATGACGTATACGTATGCCTGCACTTCCCCCAAAACATGTCTTTTGAACAAATCGGTGTAGAGGTCTTGTAACTTTGCGTTGAAGACAAGTCGGTTCGATCTGATGCTGACTAGACGTCATAAAGATTATCTCTCAATTCTCTCCATTCTTAATAGGAAGTCGCATTGTCATCTGGTTACACTTTAGATTAGGTGAAAAGAAATGGTAGAACTCGAAATATTTGAGAATAGACAAAAAGAGAATGACGGGTGTCGCCCTCTATCTATAAGAAGAAGTCGCCTTCGCCATCAAGACACACATTAGATTAGCTCAAGAGGAATGGGGAGCCACAATCCCATACCGAGCCACCATCGCCATTGCATCCTGGTATGCCTGCTGCATGGCACGTGGACTGCCCTGATGAGATGATGATAAAATTATTCAGCTACCGGGTGCTCCTCTATGGTCATTTCTGGCTAAGCAATCTTGCAGCCCTCTAGGACGAAAATTGAGCTGATTTCTCCGCTGGAAGTTGAGACTATTTTGTTCGATTTTTACGTATGCATCGAGGGCAAACTGCTGACACAGCTTTCCTGCATGTAGAATCGGATTGGATTCGTCCTTAATCGGAAACGAATACGAATAATAGTCTTTTTGAGTGATGCGCTCTCCTGCTGTATTTATCAAGCTGGGATCCCAACCACCTTCTCCTGTTGGGAAAAGAAGCGGATATGTTAATGGATCACATATCTTGTCAATGTCGCGTATGTTCATTAACTGCTCACCGCTCCTGCTACGCAAATGAGCTGCGGGGCTTTTGTTTGCGGGCACATCGTTGTCCTCGCCTACATAGATCACTGCAACTTCGTTAGCCGTAGGTAGATCATATTGTCGCCGTTTAAATCTCTTTCAGTGCTTTCCTCAAATACCATGCGAATATTGACTGGTGCGCGATTTTCTCAGGCAGCCAATGCGATTTCCGCCTGTTCTACTTCATGCATCATTTTGGAAGACTTAGCGTACACATTGGCACTTGATGGCAGCTCACTCAGAAAACGCATCAATTCTGGGCTGCATTCAGCGTTTCTTGCGTTTCCAAGGTGCTGCTGAGCCGCTAGTTCTGTATCTAATGTATAAATCTGACCGTATTGGCGTAGAGGCTTTAACCTGTGATAAATCTGTCCGTGAATTCGGTAGCAATAAGGCCCACACCCTAGCAGCGTGTCGACTTGCGCACCAAACGAGGTCATCGCTAGAGCGGTTTTAAAACTCCTTATATTCTTCATGAAGTTTTGCCAAAGACGTCGCAGCTCCTCAGTAGAATCAGGGTCTTGGACGAAGAATCTCCGCAGGCCAACGGGAAAGTTTCGGAAAAAGCTCAATGTTACCCGCCCTAGATCGCAACACTCGAAACTTCCCTGGATGACTGGGCTTGACTTCACAACGGAAATGCAATGCTACACAATCTGTTCACCGCTTATTGAGTTCTCCAGATGGACATTTTCAACTGAGCGTACCCAATGCAACTACAGCGGTCTCTCCACGAAGACGCCGTTGACGGTTGGTTAAAGCATTCATCTGCAGTCGAGCCGATCGCTTATCTTCACTCTCTAGCAGGCGACGCCGCTGATGCCGCACAACATCTTCATGAAGCCTAACTGCCCGCTCTTCGGCGCTTTCTGAGTGACGTCGTCCTTGCAAGCGCTTGGCCTTAGCTTGTGACCTAGCTGTTCGCTTCTGTATGCCTTCAAACAGTTGCTCAATTTTAGAAACAGTAGAGCAATTGAGACAGCCCGGTCAACAACGACCCTTTAATAGATCGTGATGTGACACGTATCAGTCTCTACTATCAGGGCTCACACAGAGGGATGTAAGGCAAGAGGTCACCAGTTATGTTGATACACTCATCCTTGTTATTCAAGCTCGGATTTCGGTGTCCTATCCAGGAAGCCTCGAGAGTTTTTCTGGCACCAATACTGTTCTCGTAGGCCAAAATCGTGCACTTAACGTCAAAGTTACAACCTTCATGACCTTCTCTTCTGCGCTTCCCAAGCGGTGCAATCGAGTAAGACCTTCGTTTGCTGGCTAACTGTTCTTTCACACGAACGCATAACTGTCTCCCAGTTTCTTCAAAATAGCAAGCATCCATGTTAAACACTGACATATATATGAGCTCTGATAGTAGAGACTGATACGTGTCACGTCACGATCTATTAAAGGGCCGTGGTTGACCGGGCTCTCTCAATTGCTGTACTGTTTCTAAAATTGATCAACTGTTCGGTGTTGGTGGAATTGACGTAAGTGGCTTGTTGGAATTTCTCCTTAGTTGGTAGTTCATCGGTCTGAGTTGCAACTAGTCAAGAGCTGGTCTACGTCAAGCGTGATAGGTAACCCTCTAAAGTTACGATACGCTTTCAGGCCTTTGATAAAGACGAGATTGTCGAAACGTCAGGCGAATAAAAGTATTCCACCATTAAAAAACCTGTATGGCCCAGAAACATTGAATATTGATACATGATTTTTGATCACAAAATTATCTAAGGTTACGCTCATCATTACGCGGGCACTGCAAATTCGAGACAATACCGTAAACTATAACGGCTCTGCAAAAACAGAACGACGGAATAGGGGAGCAATTTTCAGAACCCTCACCACTATGATAGCAAAAATCGACCCATCGCTCTTGGTAGCAATAACAACAACGATAATCGATTAAAAATTCAGTTATTCCTTGTATCGGGTCTACAATTACGGGGCTTCTGCTTTATTGAGCAACGAGATTAATCAGCCGGAGACTCGAATGACACAATATCACATAATACCAGCCCCACTTCAAGTAAATCTTTGTGGCCCTTTCCATCTTCAAGGTATAGACAATTGGTCGAGCTTCCCAAGTTACTGATATAAGGGATGTTTTGTTGCAAGTGATATCGGAACGATTGGAAAGTATGACCTTCGGTCGTCAGGTATGATGCCAAGCAATCGTCATCCAATTGTATGGAGTACATCTAATTCTGTTCTCCTTCCATGAGGTGACCAACCACTTCTGTTTGTGATAGTCAATTTTCTCAACCTGCTCTACCATTCCGCCTTACTGTGTATCTCATTAAAGTTATGGCAAGGCTATATCGTAAATACGATAAGAACTGAGTGTTCTTGCCTTTTGCTCTACTTATTAACAGTTATCAATTCCTGCAATGTGCGGCAGCTACGCATTCTACATTATCGAACAAAGTGCCAAAGTGCCACCGTAAAACGAGAAGCGTGAAGCAAAGCAGAAGATTCGGTAAAGCATCCAAGACAGTGCAATGACTAATGGATGCGATTATTAAAGTCGATTGTTTGCCTCGATGCAGAAGAGAATGCTCAAGCCTACGTGTGCCCAGCAAACATAATGGCGGAAGGAATTTAAGTACAATCAAAACAATGAAAATCATGTCCACCTGGTGATGAGGCTCACGGATATCATCAGAGAAAAGGATTCGATGTTGAGTGTAGCAGTCCACATCAAAACTTTCACAAAAGAGAATGCCCAAAATCGAATGAGCCTAACGATTTTGATATACTGCTCCAAAGAAAAGACATACAGCATAATCTGTGCAGTGAAACTGGCGTTCAGCAAATGTTGATGCTTACGGATATTGTGGTAGAACATAACCTCAAAGTCTTAGTCTTAACGATGATTATCGGGATCAAGAACTTTTGAGGTGTAAAGCCGTGATTTAAGAGAACACTAAAAATCTGACAAACAGTACTAAAGGAGAGATATTCGACACACAGCGCTTCCACATTCTTCCTATCCCAGACTACCTTTTCTCTCGGTGTCCACAACATTTTGAGCATGGAGGTAGGTTTGAATGAAGCTTCGTCTAGCACCCAGCTGGCTCACCTGAACGATTGTCTTCGCAACAAAGGATAGGTTAACTTATATTCCAATTTGACCCGGCTCTCTACATTCTCATCCCAATGCTTTCTTCATTCGAGCTTTATTTCACGCATTCTCCTGTATCCTATTCCAATATTAAACTTTAAAATCCTAGGCCAGAGGGACGAAAAAGTTTTCGGGCATGACCTGCCCTTGAGAGGGTTCCAGCTGTGTCCCCTACCATCGGTGCTGCCATCACACCATCATCACATGGATCTAATTCAAATCTGAACGATCTAAGTGTGAGAGGAAAGTTTTTAAAGGAACATGAAGTCCTGCCACCTACGAACAGGGTTCCCATATTACCACCTGTGTCCCTTATGGATACAAAATTATTCGAGTTTACGCCTCAAAACACATACAGGCCTGGAAATTTTGCGACGCTCATGAATATGGATATCAAAATCTATATCTTGCTCTTCATCTCAGCAGCAACAATAATGATCGCAAAATTTTTGTATAGGAAACCCTGGAACTAAGCAAGACGACAAACTAATGGCTGCTTTCATAGTCCACGATTTGGCGAGCAATCGGTCGCGCGACCGGTCGCGGACCCATCGAGCGACCGATTGCTCTTGAACTCGACAACAACTCACGAAATTTCGGAATGTTAATTGTTAATGAGAGATGGGAATGGTAGGTAGGAATTGATGAAGCTCGCGCATATGATTATAAAAAGAAAGTTTCAACTCGAGTTACGTTCACGGGTATCCCCAGAAATTGCTATGGATGGGTGAACTCAGTATTTGTTCGCCTCTAAGAAATTCTTCAAGGGTTCTTTAATTCTTCTCATATTGATATTTCGAAGCAGGCTTCGCTGCCCTCTGAACGAAACCTGAACTGTATCTTTGCACTCTCTGGCCCTATCAGTATAAATTTCGTACACTTCCCATTCCCTGAGGATGGAATCAGTTGCACCACCCTCTAGTGTTCCCATCTTGCCTCCTACACTCCTACCTAGTTCGAGTGCTCTAGGTCCGAATTACACTTTTTCGCTTGTGCCCTGCCCACTTCGGGTGAAATCTAGTCGTGACACCTAGCGTCGGTGCTCCCATCCTGCCTCCTGCACTCCTACCGAGTTCGGAAGCTCTAGGTCCAAATTAACATTTCTGCTCACGCCCCCTTCTCTCTAGGGCCTTGTTTGCCACCTATCATTCCTTTGTCAAACCTATCATCATTGTTTCCATCCTGCCTCCTGCATTCCTACCGAATTCGAGTGCTCTAACAAGGAAGGTCTTTCAGGGCGTGGGACGCTTTTTGAGAATGGTTTTTTGCATGGTATAGGGGCATGAGCACTGAGTATAGAACTATGGTCCATTTCCGCTAAATGGCCCCAATGTGCAGCTCAACTCGATCCCATGTCCTATGTCTTCGACGCTTGCCATCGTGTCTAGAGCGGACGGCATCCGCAGATATTCGATTCCACACAGGTTTCGGTGTAGAAGGTCGTCAGAGCCCCGGCCTTCACGTTTTTAGCCGGTGCCATCTTACGAGATAGACAGC